AAAAAAAAAAAAAAAAAAAAAAAAAAAAAAAAAAAAAAAAAAAAAAAAAGAAGGAAGAAAAAGGAAAAAGATATATACACCAGAAATGTTTGAGGCCTTGACCTATTTAGGACAATACAGGAGAAAACCAGTTGCAATCTGAATACTTGGAATAGTAAAATAAGGCCCTTCAGTAATTAGATATTGCTTTCTACAGAGCTGAGGCCTCCAGGACATGATGCTATATTCTGAAGAACTGAAGCTTTATTCCATCCAGCAGTTTTCACTACTACTTGCATATGATTATGTTATGAGAATAACCCTTAAAGTTTGTTTATTTTTAGTCTAGACGCCCCCATGAAAATCATATAAACAAACATCCATGTAACTATAATCATCACACTAACTAGCTGGTGTTTATTCAGACAGTTAATTTTCTCCTTGCTACAATTAGAGGGATGAAGGAAAGAATGATTTCTACCCAAGCCTATTACTAACAAAGGCTAGTTACTAATAGTGAAATACTTTCAACTTTATGTTAATATCCACAATCTACTTTTGTTGAGGGGGTACCAGGGACATTATCAGTATATGTCTTAACACAAATAGTAAAGACTACTTATAAACAGAAGTCATGCTATTTCATATGTTCTTACTTTCCTTCCAGAAGGCTAACATTTGCTATTAACATGAAGTTGGGGGTGAAGGGAACACTTGCATATAGATATTAAAATAAGATCCAAAGAGCTCACAAGGAGAATGTTGGGGAAGAAAAGATTCATACTTCTATACAAAAACGTACACATTTCTCCCACAGATAATTCCAATAACTTAAAAATTACCAAAAAAAAAAAAAAAAAAAAACTCCTTCTATAAAATCATCTAAAGATCTAAAGGCAGTAGTTGCAGGGGAGAGGGGAGGAGAGAGAAAAATACCAAACTATCCACTAGTTTGCTTAATTTGGAAAATAACTCCATAAATGAATATTTGCAAAGGATAGTCAACTCTTGACCCTTGGTTCTAGAGGATAATTGAGTGTCAGGGAATTCTCCAAGCTTGATTAGAGCCCCAGCTTACACCTTCTACTCATCTCCAGTCTCATAGCCCCAAATTGGCTGAACAGGAGAAACAACTCTTAGAGGTTTTCTAATGAGAAGGAAGTTATGTTTCTCAATGCCTATCACTTAAAAGCCATTTATTTTCTCACC